AGGGTGGCCAAGTGGCTCTGCGCACTGCCCCTGCCTGCAGGTACCACCCCCACAGCTCCCATTGACTGCGGTTCCTGGCCAATGGGAGCTGTGGAGTCAGTGCTGGGGCGGGAGCAGCGCGCGGAGACCCCCTGGCTACCCCTGTGCCTAGGAGCTGCAGGGACATACCAGCTGCTTCCAGGAGTCATGTGGAGCCAGGGCAGGTAGGGAGCCTGCCTTAGCCCCGCTGTGCTGCCGACTGGACTTTTAGCCACCAGGAGATTGATGCTGGGAAACTCCCAGCCAATCCAGGAGGGTTAGCCAGAGGAGTCCCAGGTAAGGTTGCCGAGGGGGGGGTGCAGGCACTCAGGGCTCCGGCCAGCCTAGGGCTCCTCTGGCTTAGGGGGCGCCACTTGGTACTCCTCCAGGCAGGGCAGGGGAGAGGGACTCATGGCTCTGGCCGCGGGGGAGGGGGTCTTGGGGCTCTGGCAGAAAGGGTGTGGGTGGAAGGGGCGGAGCTAGCCTCCCCTAAGCGGGGGCTCCACCTCTGCACGTGTGGGTGATTATTCTGTTCTTTACTATAGTTTCAATTTTCCCATTACTGAAGTTAAGTTTCCTGGACTGTAATTGCCAGGATCGCCTCTGGAGCCTTTTTTAAAAAATCTCCCCATTACCTATCCTCCTGTCATCTGGTACAGAGACCGATTTAAGCAATAGGTTACATATCACAGTCAGTAGTTCTGCAATTTCATATTTGAGTTCCTTCAGAACTCTTGGGTAAATACCATCTGGCTCGGATGACGTATTACCGTTTAATTTATGTATTTGTTCCAAAACCTCTTCTACTGACACCTCAATCTGGGACAGGTCCTTAGAATAGTCACCCAAAAAGAATGGCTCAGGTGTGGAAATCTCCCTCACAGCCTCTGTAGTGAAGACTGATGCAAAGAATTAATTTAGCTTCTCTGCAATGGCTTTGTCTTCTTTTAGTGCTCCTTAGCACCTTGATCATCCTCCAGTGGCTCATTTTGAAGCAGGAAGCCTGCCAAACAATCAATGTACTTAAATAATTTTTTGCTGTTAGTTTTTGTGCCTTTTGCTAGTTGCTCTTCAAATTCTTTGATCTGCCTAATTAATTATACTTTTACACTTGACTTACTAGTGGTAATGCTCCATTCTATTTTCCTGAGTTGGAAGTCAAATCCTATTTTCAAAAAGATGCCTTTTTGCCTCTAACCTCCTCTTTTACTCTGTTGTTTTGCCATGGTGGCATTTTTGGTCCTCTTACTATTTTTTTTTTTAAGTTGGGGTATACATTTAATTTGAGTCTCTATTAGTGTTTTTAAATAGTTTCCATGCAGGTTGCAGGCATTTCATTCTTGTCACTTTGATTACATGCCCCCCAAAACAAACAGCTACCCATGACTCACAAATTGTAGCCAATCTCCAGTCACTCCTTTTGTCTTAGGTGGGGGTTTGTGATTAATTTATCAATAGTTATGGTAACTGAAGGGTGGGTTCAAACCCATCAAGGGTGAGCGCAGATTCATCAAGCTCACTGAGGTGTGATTCATCCAATGGTTAGTGTCTCTCAGCTTAGCAGTTCAAGGCAACAGAAGGAAACTGGTTTCAGGGGGGATCCCCAGGCATCAAATGACATCAAACTGGGACCCCTAACACTACCATGCAGCCCAGGAGGCACACCAAATTTCAAAGCAATCTGATTAACCATTTGGATTTTAGAGCATTTACAAGAACCAACCTTTAAAGCACATAAAATAGCGGAAATGGAAACCCTTTAATTTTTCTGTATTGGCCCATTCACTGTGTAAAAAAAAAAAAAAGGTACAATTTCTTAAATATTGTTATCTATTTGGGTCCCTCAAGGATTTAGTGGGAACCATGGGTCCCTGGGCAAAACTCAGACTGAGTCCATTTTGACCCACATCTCATCAATAGTTTGATCTTGAGCTTTGGGCTACCCCCCACTCAAAGCATACACAGTGCTGAACTCATATACTGTCAATCTGTAAGTATAGTTCAGTCGACTGTTCGAATGGTGCCATGAAAAAAAGAGTATACATTCAACCCAAGTCTGGGTGCAGTCCCATTCTTACTGCCCCCAGATGCAGCCCCAGGGACAGAGCCCATAATGAAAAGACACCTCATTGTCTTGGAGAAAGAGTATTGGTGATGGAATGGCCTTTGCTTGTACTGTGGAGGGCAGGTCACTTCACCATTGACTACACCCTTGAATCCAGACCTGCGCCAGATCCAGGAAACAACCATGTCCAGACCCATTAAGGGGGTTGTAGCTGGACGTAATCATGGAATCAGGTTCCCCTGTAAAACTGATCCCTTCTTCTGCCAACATGCATCTTAACAGCTGTGGATCACTGCCATCCCCACTTGTAAGTCTTGTTCTGTCTCTGCATCCCTTCCACACCTAAGGTGAGCTGCACCCAACTTGCACTTGTGAGCCTCTAGTAATTCAATGTACACTGGGTTTGCTAAGGCTACCCAGCTTCCAGTACAAAGAAAGCTTGCCCCACACTTAGTGAAATTGATTGATGGGAGCATGCTATCCTCAAGTCCCGTCACCTACTAATATGTGCCCCTTTGGGTCAAAATACAAGACCACCAAGAAACCCTGAAATTTAACTTTATTAACTCACCTCACTTCCCCATCAAACTTGGCATCCCCTGCCTCTTGGTCCATGATCCAAATATCTCCTGGAAGATGCAAAAGGTATGGTTCGAGTCAGGCTACTGCCAGCAATGGTGTCTTGCAAAGTCAGACAGCAGGGATAAGAAACAGAATGGAGAAGTCCACCACCTTCTGTGTCCAGCAAATTCAAGGAGTAACAGCTCACTAATTCCTGCAAAATATTAAGATTTTGCTTACATATTTGATTTTAAAAAATGCTGATGTCCTACCCCTGCATAGGTCTTATTATTGCTCCATTGATCTTCAGACAGGGGCCAAAATTCCACTGAATGGTTTTATACCTTGTTGGAGCCAGAACTCCATGCCCTATGGGAATACCTCAATGAGGACCTAGCAAAAAACTTTAACCATCCATCTACATCGACCACAGGGTTTCCAGTTCTGTTTGTCAAAAAGAATACAGCTCTTCACATCTTTGTGTAGGCTGTCGAGCGATGAACAACATTACTCTCAAGAATGAATGCCCTTTACCTTTGAACAATGAACTATTGGAGAGGGTGGGCTCTGCTAAAGTATTCACCAAGCTTGATCTTTGTGGTGTTTACAGTCTAGTCAGTATCCTAGATGCCAGTGAGTGGAAGACAACATTTCACAACCAGTATGACCATTCTGAATACCTTGTTGTGTCCTTCAGTCTTTCCAACGCTCCAGCCACATTCTAGCACTTTGTGAACGACAGCTTTAGAAATGTTCTGAAGCAGTTCGTAGTGATCTACTTAGATGACATCGTCATCTTCTCAGAAATCCCAAGCCCTTCATGGCCAACGTGTGTGCTTGGTACTTGAGTGTCTTCAAGCCAATGACCTCTACAAAAAAACATGAGACGTTTTATATTGCGTGTAACTTTATGCAATTTGGAACTGTTTCTGTTAAGAGGTTTTTTTCACATATATATAAATTTCATGTTATGATCAGTCATTCTGAAATACTGCACATGGTGCACTGCATTTGCATCCTTTTACTAATAAATTCCTTCCTGCCCCAAAAGCAGTCCTCTACTTCCTAGTCAGTCCTCACACTACCTATCATACTTCATTTGCTTTTGAGCTGTTGATGCTCACCTACAGTGGCCCCACAATTCCAGTCTCCACTGCCCACTTGCTAAATTTTCAAACACCTTCATGCTTTCTCCCATGCTTCGGAGATTCTCCTTATGAATGTACACAAAGCTACTTCATTATCCATCTTCAGATCCCTCCTCAAAATTATCCTTTGCTGTGATGCCTCCAAAAACCTTGACAATGGTTGGGCTGCTGGTGTGCAGAGACCACTGCTTACCATGCTGACTAATACTGTCTCATTGCTTACTTGTGCTCCCCCATCTGTTGTCTCATCTTATACTTACATTGTAAGTCCCTCGGGGCAAGGACTGTCTTTTTGCTCTGTGTTTTACAGCACCTAGCACAATAGAGTCCAGGTCCATGACTAGGACTCCTAGGTCAGTGGCTCTCAACCTTTCCAGACTACTGTACCCCTTTCAGGAGTCTGATTTGTCTTGTGTACCCCCAAGTTTCACATCACTTAAAAATTACTTGCTTACAAAATCAGACATAAAATACAAAAGTCATAGCATGCTATTATTGAAAAATTGCTTACTTTTATTTTTACCATAATTATAAAATCAATTGAAATATAAATATGGTACTTATATTTCAGAGTATAGTATAGAGAGAGCAGTATAAACAAGTCATTGTCTGTATGAAAGTTTAGTTTGTACGGACTTCGCTAGTGCTTTTCATGTAGCCTGTTGTAAAACTAGGCAAATATCTAGATGAGTTGATGTACCCCCTGGAAGACCTCTGTGTACCCACAGGGGTATATCTACCCCTGGTTGAGAACCGTTGTCCTAGGTGATATGGTAATACATATAACAACAACAACTTCTCACAAGGGACACTTGGGGCTGGATGTTTATATGATTCTTGGAAACATCAATTTGTATGAGCAACCAATGGAAGTATTCAGGTACCATGCAGAAGCTGAATGGCATAACCAGAGAAAACCTGTCTTACAGTAGCAAGGTTGATGTTAACATTAATGTGTTGGCAAGCTCTTCAAAGGGTTCCCTTTATACCATCAGCACTCCTGTACCGTTCAGACTGTGTTGTAAAATAGCAAAACCTGAATGGCTCCCTTCCTCTGCCCACAATGTGCTGCCTTTTCTTCAGTGGTGCAGGGTGCACCAAGAGGGTTATCTGCAGGAGCTTTCAGCATCTGCTGGAGTTGGGGAAGCTCCTTCAGGAAGAATAGAAAAGATCGGAAAGATGTTCCTGTTGCAATTCCTGCTTTCCAGGTCTCTTGGGGATGGTGGCTCATATGATGTACACCCAAGTTTTCCAAGTGACAGTCAGCCTTGGACCAGAAGATTGGAGACCACATTCATGGGACTATGGCTGGTCCTTCTGGTAAGTGTCTCCTTCATTTAGTATCTTCATCTCACTCTTGAATTGTCTGATTATGGATATCAGTGCAAGAGTTACAAACATGGTCTTAAATATCCAGGAAATTGTATGTGCATTTCCAAGAGCAAAAAACACACAGTTGATCATAGACATTGGATTGCATTGGCTAGTTTTGAAATTGCAAATAAAAATCATTAGTTATATCTCTCGCAAGTCAACTGCAGTCACAATTACCACCACTGAGAGCAATTCCATTAAGTGTATACATTTGAATTAGGTGCCATAACATTTCTGAAACTCTTGGTTTCATGTATTTACAGTAAAGGCTCAATTGTGTCTTACAGGGAAATTTTCTATAGAAGCTGCAATGCCCCTATGTGGCAGTGCAAGGCATAGCTCTTTTGGATCTCACAATAGCACCCAGGGGGAGTTTCTTGGAAGGTTTGAGGCAAATCAGACAAAGTGTTTTGGAGAGGGGGGGGTTGGTTTTGGAAAGAGTCCCACATTTATTTTGCTCATGAGATAAAAATACTGGCTTGGCCTAGAAGCCCCTCAATATGTTTTATTGTTCTGTCCTTTAGGAGAACTGGCACATTTGACTAGTATAGGAGAATTTGGGGAGTTAGGAATATTTTGATCACAGTTTTCACAACTTTCAACAGCTTGCATTGTCCTGTGGAGCCTGAGGAAGGGGTTTCCATTGTAATTTATTGCATTTTAATTTTTTTTATTACTGAGTAATATTTTATTTCTACTCCCTGAATCAGGCAGGTGTGGACACACTCCCTGCAGGCACCAAGGCAGGGGATTATTAATGATCCCTCCATCCACACATACATTCCAAGGCAGGTGGTTATTAGCCTTCCAGGATCTGAGGCAGGATGTTCTTAGCCCCTCACACCTCAATGCAGTTGATTATTAGCCCCCTCCACATTGTGAGGCAAGGGATTAGCCCTCCCCCTCTTCCAAATCCCACATTCCAATGCAGGGGATGTTTAGCCTCCCACTGCTGGGATTAGCCCCCCACCACACACACACACTACTGTTATCCCCCACAATCCCTCCTGTGTCCCAGTGCAAGGAATTATTAGCCTCCCTCACCCCCTTTAGAAGGGTTATCAGGAGGCTATTGGGGCCCCCACCCTGGTTTCAGAACTCACTATGCACCAATTCACATTGTTAGCCACATAAATATTGGATTTGCAGGGGCCAACTAATTGTGAGTGTCAGTTCAGTGATGAGCAGGAAGCAGCCTGACACAGCTGTGAGGGAGAGGCTGAAGGTGCCATGGCCCAGGTCATGGTCACTGGGCATTCCCAAACCTTCACACATTTGTTTAAAGTACACCTCTACACCGATATAATGCTGTCCTTGGGAGCCAAAATTTTTTTACTGCGTTATAGGTGAAACTGCGTTATATCGAACTTGCTTTGATCCGCCGGAGTGCGCAGCCCTGCCCCCCCCCTCAGAGCACTGCTTTACCGTGTTATATCTGAATTCATATTATATCAGGTCGCGTTATATCGGGGTAAAGGTGTATAACCAAACTTTCAGTTTCCTTGGTGTCTATTGATTCTTTATGTTATAGCTACAGTCTCCTGCCAAGCTTCCCTGAGTGACTGAGACACATTCTCATGCTTAACAACATTTTTATCTCCATGGTAATGATGTTGCCATTCTGGAATATCTCCTATCATAGGACCTCCAAGCACTTTAGAAACATCAAATCAGTCCCAGTGCCCCCTGGAAAGGCTGCACATCGTCAATATTTTTATTCTGCAGTTTGGGAAATTGAGGCCAGAGGTTAAGTGGCTTCCCAAAGGCCACGCAACAAACCAGTAGCACCGCTGAGAAAAGAGCCCAGCCTATCACTCTCAGGTCCTTGCTCTGACCATAAAACTACATTCCCTCCTTCCAGATTAACAAACATAATTGCCAAACAGACCAGACAACTGTATCTGCCTCTGGCAGTGGCCCACATGTAATGCTTTAGAGGAGGGTGAAAACAAAACAAAAAACCCCACATGGCCTTCAGGCCAGTTGTGAGATGATGTAGGGGAAAATTCCTTGATCCCCCTAGGGATCAGATGATGCCCTGAAGTCTGAAGTTTGATTATCTCTAAGTCAGCAACATAAATATATAGGATATTATTTATAGCTTCCTTTTAAATCCAGTTCTAGTGTTTGAGTGTCTGGCCTACACAGCAGGAAGGCCTACACCCTCTACTGAAGAAGTACAGGAGAGGAAAGGTCATCCGGTGGCTGGGCTTCAGAGGGTGGGTGTTCAGTTCCTGACTATGTCACAAGTTTCCTGTGTGCCATTAGTACAATTGCATAGTTTCACATTGATTCAGTCCCCCTTCTGTAAAATGGGGGGGAAGAATACCATCCTTCCTCAAATAGGAGCTGTGGGAATTAATGTTTGTGAAGTGCTCAGATGTTATAGCAATGGGGACATATAGGTAACTAGACCAATTGCCACCAGTGTTATGGAGGTGCAGGTCATGACAGCATAGTTAAGATTGAGCTGAGTTTTGCATTTAAAGCAGGAATTGGAATTCAACCTCCTAGTTGTATTTAAAAATCAGTTTAATCTAATCTAGGACCACACATACCCAAGTACAATTAATGTATTTATTACATTGCTGCAGGGCAAAATTAAGGTTGTTTGGATAACAACTGCACATTTCCAGGTCTTACCCTGTCTGGATTTCTTTTAAGTTTAACTTTAACTCAGAATTTCCAACATTTTTCAGATGTTGAATTAATGAAAATTTTTAAGATCTTCAAGCATAGCTCCCCCAACTACATTGCAATAAAAATCCCATGTACCAAATCTCAGAACCTAGGTCAGCTGACTCAGGCTCCTAGGGCTGGGCAGCGGAGCTAAAAAGAGCAGTGTAGACATTTGAGCTCAGGCTGGAGCCTGAGCTCTGAGACCCTGTGTGTGGGTGGGTGGGTCTTAGGGTTACCATATTTTGAGCCTCCAAAAGGAGGACACTCCACGGGGCCCCGGCCCCG